AATATCATATCTTATTCTAATTGTGACAACATCAACAGAAAAATCATAATTAAAACATTTATATTCAATCAAAGAAATGACCATATGAGGAATTAAAACTTAGAGCAAAAGATTGAAGATGTGGCTTGATTCTTACATGACCTAATTCCTTGTGTTATATTAAAACAAAAACCATAACTTCAGTATGGAAAAAAAGAGAGAAAAAATTCATTTGCCTTCTTTTCATTTCATTCATATGAAGGTATAAACAGAACAAATACCATGCCAAATTGCATGGGATAAGAAACTGTCACTGTAATAAGAAGGAAGGAACTAGATGATTGTAAGAACATACCCAGAAAATTTTTGAGGTTAAGATCAGCATACTCAAGAGCCACCAGATCAGTGCTCCTAAGCTTCTTATTAGCATCAATGGTGGCAAAAGCATAAGCAGAAGCATATATCATTGTTGGCTACTTGGCTATGATGATGAAGAGGAGTAAAAATGTGAAATGTTATCAGTGAAGGAGCTTGTTTTGTAGCTTTAAGGACTACACAAGGGTAGTAGCGGTAGGCCAGGCACAATGAAGAAGCCATTTCAATGGCTATTGCCATTCCCACCATTTCAGCAGCTATTTATATGTTGAGCAGTCAATGAGTCTTCACAAAATACATGGATGACAACTGTCCAATCTCCAGAAAACCAACTTCTTCTTTTCCATTGACATAAATGTTAAACTTCAGAAATATTGCAGATCTCCCTCTTATGCTTTAGGCTACAAAACGAAAATTAACCCTACAAAAGGAAAATTAATCCTTATTATTTTTCTTGATTTTTTCTTGGCCATCTTTCAACCATGATTTAATATCCAAGATCTGAGGAAAATAACCTAAACCAAAACATACAAGGAACTGAAAAAAGGGAAAATACTAAAACCAGCTTTATCTTTTATTTAGACTTGAATTCATTTGATTGTCATTCTGTTTTGCAGCTAAAATGAAAAGAGAGATTAATTAGATGAGCCAAGTTCTAAGTCTCCAACAACATAGTGAAAATAAATTTGATTGCTGAAAAAATTCAAGTCTTGAAATTTGACATTCATAAAAAAAGAAAGGAACTGCTGTGAATCAAAACAATATACATATATATATACATATATAAGTGAACTGCAAATGATTATGATTATGATGGAGTATTTTTGTAAGAAATACCAGAACTTTTGTGGCTACCAAGAATTCTAAAAGGAATGAATAAGATAAAAGTTAGAATACTTTTAAGTTCCTAAATTAATTCTCAAAAAAACTTAAAATTTTCTACTAATTTGAGAAAAGCTAAGTTTTACCTTCACATTAACGTAGGGGATGTGAGCAATGAGGGGCCAATCGTGTCCTTTCTCCTCCATGCATCGTCGTTGCAGCAGTGGGCAGTTTGTAATATGGAGTTCTTCAAGCGAGGGAGGCAAGCCTTCCTTCGGCAAGGATTGGAAGTTGTTGCATTTCCAAATTTGTAAAAATTGAAGCGAGGGAGGCAAGACTTTATTTGGCAAGGACTGGAAGTTGTTGCAGTTTTGAATAATTAACTTTTGAAGGGAGGCAGGCAGGGCTTCCTTTGGCAGTGTCTGCAGCTTTGGCCAATCACAAATTTTTAAATGTTGAAGATAGTTGAGGTTTTGGAGGAGCCCTTTAGGTATGGATTTCATATTTTCAACATTATGCACCTCAAGACTGGTTAGAGAAGTGGGAAGCACATTATCTGGAGGACATATCCAACAAATCTCAAAAGTTAGAAGCGAAGTGATGCTGCTGAGGCCCCATTCTTGCATCGGCTTCTTTAGATTCTTGCAATTAATTATCAGTTCTCCAAGGTTTGGGGCAGAACCACAGTCTGGGATGGACTCAATTCCTGGGCAATTGCGAATTTGAAGAGATGTTAGATTCGGAGGAAAACCAGAGTCTGAAATGGACTCAATTCTTGGGCAATTGATAATTCCAAGATATGTTAGGTTCGGAGGCAAACCAGAGTTTGAAATGGACTCAATTCTTCGACAATCGCTAATGCTAAGACATGTTAGGTTCAGAGGCAAACCAGAGTCTGAAATGGACTTAATTCTTCGGCAATTGCAAATGCTAAGATATGTTAGGTTCGGAGGCAAACCACCATCTGGTATGGACTCAATTCCTGGACAATTGCTTATACATAATTCATTTAGAGAGTTGAGGTGCTGCAGCTTATCAGGTAAGGACTTGAGATTCTTGAAACTCTTTATGGTTAACCTTCTAAGATTGGGGATAAACGGGCAGAGTGACTCCAAACCATCTAAACCATCTAACTTATCTATCCCTGAACAATTGTGGATATAACGTCTCTCATATTCTGGCCAATCATCTCCGAGATTATTACCATAGAGTTGAATCTCTTCAAATTCCCTATAATACTGCAGCATTCTCTGAGGGATAAATTCCAATTGCTTGCAATCACAGACATAGAGGCGTTTAAAAGAATTGGGTAAGTGGCCAGTTGGAAAAGATTCCAGACAAGGACACCCTTCAATCCTTAATTCTTCAAGATGGGACACTTGACACGCATCACCATTATTCATTAATATTCCTTCTGGTAAAGATTCTAGCTTTTCACATCCTGCAATTAGGAGGAATTTAAGCGTGGTGGGTAACTTGCCTCTTGGAAACATTCTGAGTTCATCACAACTTGTAATCAACATAGTCTTGAGTGCTATCAAGGACTCTACAAAACTGTTAGGCAACCAAACCAACTTAGAAATTCTGTTGATTCTCAATGTTTTAAGTGAGTTGAGGTCAACCATACTCCTCAAGACGGCCTCACTACATCCTTCAACACACAACTCTTCAAGTGATGGAAGACTTATTGGTGAATATATTAACTCTGGGCATCTGGCAATCTCTAGCTTTTTAAGGAAAGGAATGCATTTTGGAAATTTTCCTTTCAGTATGGGGCAGTCTTGCAATTTTAAACTCTCCAATGATGAAAAAGCTGAAGCTGAAGAAGAATTGCCCTCGTCAAGCATCATAGTTTGTATTCCATGCATGCCTACCAACAAAAAAAAAGAAGAAGCAAAATCAATGGGAAAAAAAAAAACATAAAAACAAGCAACATTAACTAAAGAATCAAGAGAATTTGCATCTATGCCTGTAATGATCAATTCTTTAAGTCGTGGTAATTGCTGGAGTGACGGTAATGAAGTGCTTTTTTGACAATTGTTGAGCTTCAAGAACTCCAAATTGGAAAATGATGGATCACCTATCCAAGGTGGGAATTCCAACCCACCAAAATAATTAATTGTCAATCTTTTCAAATCATGATAAGGCTTTAACCAGCTGAGAACTTGCAATTCAAATATTTCATTTCGGTTGTTAAGGAAATCAGAAGACCATTCTAAGGATAAATCATCTAATCCCTCAATCTCAAACAAATTCACCTCCTTTGCTTCATTTGCAGCCACAACATTTTGTAAATCCAAAATGGAAAGCCGGCCTTGAAGACATGACAAATTCTTCAAATCTTTCACTCTTGGTCCTCGAGCATTTCCAACAATAAATTTTGACAATGTTACAAGTCTTCTCAAATTGCTGATTTCTGATGGGAACTCTTTTAAAGACCTTGTCCCAAATAAATCAAGATGTTGGAGATCAAGTAGATTTCCAATAGTGGTAGGCAACTTGGACAACTCATGGCAGTTCCGTAACAACAATGTTTGTAAGTAAAGAAGATAACCCACTGACTCAGGAAGACTTTTAATCTCTGTATTAGACAAATTAATGAATCGCAGATGCTTCAAGTCTCCAATCTGATCAGAGAGCTTCGTTATCTTATAATTCTGAAGACACAACACCCTTAAACATTTTAGATCTTTCATCAAATCTTGCAAGAGTGTGTTGGATAAGCACCCTCTCAAAATGTTGAACTCCCTCAATCGTAGAAATGTACGTAAATTCTTCTTTTCCTTCAGAAATTCAAATCTTTTTGACACTTCATAGTAAGAAGGAAATAATGACAAATGACGAACTCTTTGAAACCTTGTATCTGATATATCTCCATCTGATTTAAGGGTGTAGCATATATCTCCAGTAACATGCAAGGCTAAATCAACCATCAAGTCATGCATCACAAACAACGACTCATTCCTACTAGACCGTTGAAAAAAAGCCCTCGACAATAGCTCATCAAAGGACTGATGACGAAGGTCTTCCATTTTCTTCATTGTCTGTGGTTGTTGTTGCAAGAATCCTTCTGCCATCCATAATAAAACCAACTCATCTTTATCAAATTCATAATCTTTAGGAAACAAAGAACAATAGGCAAAGCATCTCTTCAAATGGGAAGGAAGGTGATTATAGCTCAATTTCAGAGCAGGAAAAATGCCAGTATTATCAACTGGTAGATCCCATATGTCACTGTGCAGTATGTTTTCCCACAAAGAACGATCTACCTTACCACGCAAGAGGCCACTAAGGGTTGTTATAGCCAATGGCAATCCTCCGCATTTTTTAACAATTTTCTCCCCTACTACTTTAAGATTTGAATATTCATCAAAGTTTTTTGGCCCCAATGAAATTTGAGTAAATAGTGACAAACAAGCATCATCCCCTAGCAACGACAAATTATGAACTTCGCCATCTCCTCTTATCGTCCTCCCAACATTCTCGTTACGAGTTGTGATGATTATTTTACTCCCTGGTGCTCCTGCTAGGAAAGGCCTTTGTAATTTCTCCCATAATTTATAGTCTTCATTCCAAACATTATCTAGCACAAGTAAAAACTTTTGGCCTGAGAGCTTATCTTTCAACATTTCTTGAAGTGGACTTAGCTCTTTTTTATCACAATTTGCTGTGGGTACTTGCTCTAAGATGGCTGTTGTAATCCGATAAACATCAAAATTCTCACCAACAGAGACCCATGCTTGCAATCCAAACCTACCCTTCAATTTGCCATCATTGTAAATGAGGTTAGCAAGAGTGGTCTTTCCGATTCCTCCCATTCCAACAATGGGAATAACAGAGTATGGCTCATGGTTGCCTTCATCGAGCAAAATCTGAAGAATATCCTCTTTATCATTTTCTCGACCATAGACATGTTGCTCAGGCAAAGAAGTATCGAGCGATCTTCCTGTAGTAACTCCGTGGGACTCATCTCCAGTTCTCAAAGTCGATCTGACCAGGTTCAGTGATCTTATGTTTGCTTCAATACATTGGAATCTAGCAGTTATATCCTTCACCCTGGATGCCATCTTTCGTTCTCCTTTAGCCGTTAATCTTCCAACCTTGTTAAACAATTTGGGAAAGATCAGTTTCTGTGGCTTACTGGTGCTGGCTTCCGACCTCTTGGCATCAATGTCGACCTCTTCAAGTATGTCCTCCATATCATATACCAAATCCTCGAGATCAGCAAGCCATAACTTCACAAAGCGGTCTCTTCCTTGCTTCTCTTCAGCATCTTCAAGTACATCACGGATTTGTGGCAAAAGCTTCTTCCAATTTTGGATCTCGGCACGAACTTTCTCTGGTAAATTCAGCCATTCACTTACAGAAGAACTCAACTTCGAGAGCAATAAATCGAACGTTGCTGACAAAAGAGCATCTCCAGCAAGGGTTGCAACTTCCATAGTTCGATTTGAACGAGAGAAGCAATATTCTGCAAGAATGATGTGATTGATCATTTCAACAAGTCTTCAATTTATTGGTATCATATATAAGTACTGTTTTGAAAATTTTGTCTTATATCTCTTTATAATGAAATTGAAAAATAAGAACAAAAGAAATAAGATCTGAAAATGCATTTTTTTTTGTCCCCGATAAAATTAAGAAATAACTAGACAAAAAATAACAAGAAATATATGTTTGTATTGAAATTAAATTATACAGATATGTTTCTGAACTCGAGGGTGGCAACGGTAATATTTGAAAAGAAAAGCAAAGGAAGACATATACAAGGTTACAGACAAAAATCAGAAGCACATACGTAAATATAATATAAAATAGGTACCTTAATTTCAATGCTACAAGCTGAGAAGATGCCTTCCAAGTTCGAACAAGATAATAAAAAAAAAAAGAGTGATGAGTTTGGATTGTGGAAGAGGCAGAATGCTGAGACGGGTCTTAATAGGATTATATTCTGCTTTGATTTTAGTTGAGTGATTGCTCTTCTTTGATTGTTTCTACCACAAACAAGGCAAAAAGGCGACAATTTATCTGAGATGCATAAACCAAAAATCATATTATAAACAAAGAAGAAAGGCGGATGTATTAACCAAAAATTACATGAGATGCACGTAATTAAGTAAATATAGAAGTGTCCAGCATTTGGAGGTCTATTGACCCCTGCAAAGCAGGACGACAATCAGAATCTAAGTTCCAATCCTAGGTCTCTATCCTCTTTTTCCGAAAAAATTTTCATTGTTCAAAAAAAAAATAAATAAATATAGAAGTACTTTCCTTGATTATTTTTAATAGTAATAATTT